GAAAGAAAGAAAGAAAGAAAGAAAGAAAGAAATGTCCTAACTCAGGCTGGTATTTTTCAAATGCCCAGCAATCTGTTGATTGTTAAAGGAACAACAACTGAGTTCTGTGTCTCCATTTCGCCATCCACAGGTTCAATCACAGCGCCTGGCGATGGAAGGGAGCGGCCTCCGTTAGCACTCACTACTCTTGAAACCTGGCTTCCGGCTTACTACAGGCATGTCTCCTGTGAGAGTTAGTGAACCTGGTCACCTTCCGTGCACACTTCCCAGTTTCTCACAGGAAGAGGATGGTCTGCGCATGCGTGCCAGCGATGGCGACTGCTGCTGATGGAAGCCGTCGTGTTGCTTTCTCAAAGCAGCACGCATTCCAACTCTGTCTGTTTTTACGAAGTGTGTGTAGGTCAGAGGACAGCTTTCACCTTCAGGTGTTAGTTCTCCTACCCTGAAGGTTCTAGAAATCAAATGTCTGTTGTCAGTCTTAGCAGCAAGCCCCTGCTGAGCCATTTCACTGGTCCTCAGTACAATTCCTTACGCCCCACTATTATTTAACTCTAATCTCAAATCACAGCCAGTAGATTTTAATCTATTAAACCCTGACAACCAAGGCTCTCTCGGTTGAAGTCCTTTCAATTCTAACTTAAAAGAGACGGGGCTCTCAGTTTCTCCCTTTGTCTATGTGGGAGATGTGGTAGTGTTTCTAAATCTTAACCTCACAATTAACACACACATGTAACTGCTCATTCCACTTCCCTGGAAAGGTTGGTTACTGTCTCTGTTTGCTTTTTATTGTTGTGATAAAACACTCATCAAAACCAACTTAAGAAGGAAAATAAATTTCAGCTTAGCGCTCTGGGGCCCATCATGAAGGGCAGTCAGGGCTGGGCTGACTGGCTTGCTCCTCCTGGCCTGCTCAGTTTGCTTTCTCATACACCCCAGAACCACCTGCGCCCAGGGGCACCACCCATACTGGGCTAGGCCCTTCCACAACAGTTATTGATCAAGAAACTGCCTCACAGCCATGCCTATGGGCTAATCTGATCACTTTCTCAACCAAGGCACCTCTTCCCAGATGACTTTAGCTTGTGTCAAGTTTGCAAAACTAACAACAAGAAAGA